CCCCCAGGGAGTGTCTCTTGGACGGCAGCAGAGCCAATGTACACAGCTGGGGGGTTAATTCCAGGCTTAGCAGAGACATTGGGAAGGCATTCCAGAGACTTCTGAAATACTCTTCACCACGTTTCTCTCCATCATGAATATCTTCTGTTACCGCAGCACGTTTGTCAAACTAAGAAGTTGACCTTGGCATGTTCCTATTAATTAAGTTGTAGATGGTTCTGAGCATGAAGCGTCCACGTTGTTCTCTTCGGGAACTGTATTTGTTTTCTGTGCTCTGTAATAAATTGTGACAGACTTAGCAGCTCAAGACAGCACATATTGAGTATCTCACAGCCTCTGTAGCTTACTGGGACTCTGTGCTTCAGGGTCCCATCAGGCTGCCGTCCGGGTGCTGGCGGGGGCCGCGGTCTCATCAGAGGCTCGACCGAGGAAAGGTCCACTTCCGGGCTTCCTTGGTTTGTTGGCAGAGTTCATCTTCTCGCCATGGCAGAACTGAGAGGCCCGTGTTCCCTTGCAGCTGTTGGCCAGGGGCTGCCCACAGTCCACGACATGTGGCTCTTGAGAAACATGAGGCCTCTTCTTCAAAGTCATGAAGGGCGTCTCTCGCTCCCATCTGCTCAGATGGACTCCAGAGCACGACGCTGTCCCTGGGTGACAGCCATCACTCACCACATCCTGTTGAGTAGAAGCAAGTCACAAGCCCTCCCCCAGGCAGGGGTGGGGTTGCACAATGGTGTGAACTCCAGGAGGGGCGACCATCAAGGGGTCACCTTTGGGTATGTGTTGGCCGTAGTAATCACGGCCCCCTGTCCCCCAGTGCTGAGGAACCCAGACACTCCCTCTGGCAGCCCATAGGCAAGGTCACTATTGGATTTGAGGCTGCGTTTCCTAGGGCTGGTGGCTGGGCAGGCGTTCCTGGGTGACGGTGCCCCCCACCCAGCTCTTGACTCCACAGGGTCTCAGTTGCAGCCTCACAGTGCTGGTGTCAAGGCTCGCAGCCGGCATCTCCCCCAGGGTCTGGGATCCATGCCCTCCCCGGCTCCCGCCCTCTCCGGTGTGACGGTCCCTTCACTGCAGTTGTGGGCTGACTCCTGAAGGGTGGGAGAGCCGATTTGCCGCCCACCCACCCCCCGGATGCGTCAGAGCTGCTGTTCCAAGGAGCTGTAGGCCAGGATGTCATTGTTCACGGCTCATCTAGGAAATGTGAGATGCCCGTTTTTCTTGATCTTTTGTGCTCCTTGCAGCTCAGATGTAACTGAGTTAATTATTTGATGAAACGAGCCAGAGCCTCCTTGCTGGCTATGGAACTTGCTCCACTGTAGAAAAACAGAGATGTTTCATAGTGAGATAAAATAATCAGTTTATTTAAAAGACTTCACAGGCCTGGATGTGTATGAGACTCATAATTGGGGCTCAAAGAACTTCCTGTTCTGGAACCAAAGCAGGTACTTATCAGACCCCGTACTAAAAATTATTCCTGACCGTCGATCTGGACTGTGAGTTGCTTACGGACAGCCTGGTTGGTCTTCCTTCGGTCCTTCCTGTGCATGCCATACCAAGTGGGTGTGCCCTGACTTACTTTAAGTGATTGCAATGTTTCGACCTGTTCATTTACAACCTCCTGGGCCTTTATCGAGGACCTCATGCCATCGGGCCTTAGTCTCTGGGTAACAGAGCCTCTGGGATTTACCATTTATTTATTTATTTAGAGTTGGAGTCTCACTCCATCAGCCAGGCTGGAGCGCAGTGGTACGCTCACGGCCACCCCAGCATTGACCTGCTGAGCTCTGGCCAGCCTTCCGCCTCAACCTTCCAAGTAGCCAGAACTACAGTCGTGTGCTACTGCACCCGGCTAATTTTCTTTTTGAGTTGGAGTCTCACTCTGTCGCCCAGACTGGAGTGCAGTGGCCGCTCCTGGCTGCTGGGCTCTGGCGATCCTTCCGCCTCAGCCTTCCTAGTAGCGGGAACTACAGGTGCACACTACCACGCCAGGCTAATTTTTGTATTTATTGTAGAGATGAGGTCTCGCCAAGTCGCCCGGGCGGGTCTCAAACCCGCGGCCTCAGGCAATTCACTCACCTCGGCCTCCCAAAGTGCAGGATTACAGGCTGAGCCACCGAGCCCGGCCTAATTTTTGATTTACTGTAGAGACAACGTCTTGCCAAGTTGCCCGGGCTGGTCTCAAACTCTCAGGCTCAGGCAGTTCACTCGCCTCGCCCTCCCAAAGTGCTGAGATTACAGGCTGAGCCACCGAGCCCAGCTGGGATTTGCCTTTTGAACTCCCTGCCACCACCCCAGTCTTTGTGGTTCGAGACCTCACATGTGACTGACTTGACCGAGTCTTGTCTTCTAAAGGACTGGAACCTTCTGCTTTAGTTCCTTTATGAAGCTTTTTGTGTAGGGGGAATGAAAGCAGGAGTCTAAACGGACCAAGTGTCGGGCGAGAAGGCTGGGGTTCAGAATTGGTTAATTTGGGGATTTGTTCATTCCAGAATCGGTATATTTGTCTACGTTTCAAAGGCAGGCACCTTGGTGCCCTGTCCCTGAAAGGGCATGCTTGGGGGGAAAATTAAAAATAAGCCGTTGAGGTTGGCTTACTACATCACACCTGCACACCTGGGGAAGCTGAATCCTCTGATTTTTTTCACGTTGAAATTTCTTGTAAATCATACCCAGATGGTCACCGGTAGCATACATCGCTCTCAGTGTTACACAGGAACCTTCGAAAACCATGTAAAAAACATTATAGCAAATATGCTTTTGGAAACGGGGTTTTGCTTGGTGAGGTGTGCTTGTCTCGAGAATTCAGTGTGGCTCCTGCTTGAAGGGTATTCTGGCCAGACCTGGCCGTGCAGCTTCATGCAGGGCCAGGAGTCCCTGCTCATGCTTGGCAGATGCGGGGTGGCCATGGGCAAGCCTGGTCTCCAGCATCTAGTCTCCACGCCTGTCGTCCACAGGGGACACACTCTGCCCGCCTTTGGCCAGGTTCCTGCCACCTGCCGCCCGCCCGAGGAATCCCCTCCTGTGTCTGACCACCGAGACTTCCAGGAGCGGGATCCCCGGTCCTGCAGTAAGTGGCACCATCTCCCAGCACGGCCTGTGACAGGTTCCCCTGAGTGGGCAGAGCCTTGTGCCATGTCACGCCACAGGCCTGTCCGTGTGGTGGAGCCATGGCAGGCAGCCCACAGCATGTGCGGAGATGGCGGGCATGCTGGGAAGCCACGATGCGGACCCCGAGGCCCCAGGCCTTCCCCTGACAGCCGCTTTGTTTTCCCAGAATGTCTTGCTCTCAGTGGCCTGGGCGTCTGTCTTGACTGCATCTCTAATGGTGATAAATTTTGCCAGACTGCCTCTGTGGGTGTTGAACCCTTTTAAAGTCTTTTAAGAATTAATCTCCGATTTCCCTAAGTGATGCATGAACGTGTTCTCTTTCTTTTACAATGGAATAAAATAGAGATCACGGCTAAAGCCGCTTCTGATCGCCCCCACCCCCATCGTCCCCACCTGTGGCCTTGGTTTCCACACAGCTCTCCCCACCATCCCTGGAGGTGACCGCTAGTGTTGGTGTGGTGTGCGCCTTTTGTTTTTTTCTGAGTTGGGGTCTCACTCTGTCACCCAGGCTGGGGTGCAGTGGTACATCACGGCTCACGGCAGCCTCAACCTCCTGGGCTCAGTTGATCCTTCTGCCTCAGCCTCTTGAGTACCTGGGACTACAGGTGTGTGCTGCCATGCCTGGCTAATTTTTTATTTTTTGTGTAGAGACGAGGTCTTGCTGTGTTGCCCAGGCTAGTCTTAAACTCCTGGACTCAAGCAAGTGTGTACCTTACTGTTACAGGCTGAAAAGAGGGCATTTGGGTTATATTAGAAATTCATTTAGAAAAGTCTTAAAAACTTGTGTTCTTTTGTAACTGAGTTGGGCTAAACATAAAAGCCGCTTGAATTTGAAAGTGCACATTCTTTCTTCCCCCCACACTGTCCTCACCACCCCTCACCGCCAGCACAGCCTTGCGTGACTGGACTGGAAGGCCACTCTTCTAGAAAGCCGTTGCTGGGGCTGAAGAAGAAACACCAGCAAGCCAGACTTCCTAATGATCAGGATAGTGGATGGAGGCCGATGGTGCCTGAAAGCCTGGAGCAAGCACACACACCTCTCTTGCACCTGTGAACACAAGGACATCGGACTGTGACGGGCCAGGGCTCTGGGAATCAAAGACCCCATGTTTGAAAACAATTGAAAGTTGTCATCTTAAATATTATGACTTTCCCTTCCTTCCAAATATTGCAATTGTCTCTCCCTTCCTCTAGAAAAACTGTAAAAGAACATACTGTGAATTCCAAGATGTTATCTAAAATGTCAGCATGACCAGGAGACTTGGTGTCACATCCATGGTCAGGTGTCAAATATTGTGAATGGAAATGTCGAGTCTTGTTAAAACTCCACGTAGGCTTCAACCTTGGGATAGGTGAAGGGCTATGGATTTTGGGTGTCAGTGCTGGAATGAATTTGTGTTGCCCTGGGTGGGCTTCTTGGCAGTGATGCCAACCCTTCTCCCTATAACCTGGTTCTACAAATTAAACACTCCCTTTCCTCCCAGTTTCTGCCTCTCATGTCTTAAGTGGCCGGGAGGGAGAGCAGCCGACTGATAGGGCCGTAACATTACTAGTTGTTTTCCTGTGCCCAGGCAGATGTAAACCAGTGGGAAACAGCCATCCCTGGGGTCTGTGTGTATGTTGGCTAACACACCCGCCATGTTGCGCTGAACCCGTCCTTCTGTTTTACTGCGTTTTACTTGGTGATGGGTCTTGGAGGTCTTTCTGTGACTCAGACCTATATATATTACTTGAGTCGTTGACTGTAATTCTCTTTCAGCAATGCCTTTTTTGGCAGTTCTTTTCAGGAAAGAATTTGGGGCTTCGCTGAATACCCAGTGATGCTTTTTTAAAAAAAATGTGTGGCGCCAAACCTTAATCCTTGTGTGCACACCTTTCTCTTTCTCCAGATCTCAGAAAGCCGATCTTCACAGCGAGGGCTACACTTTGGAGCTGGATTGCTGCTCTTTGCTGGACCCTCTGACAGACCAGAAACTCACCCCGGAGTTGATTAAGAAGGCGAGTGCCCTCAGGATGTGGCTACTGTGGGGTGGGGGTGGGGTGGGGGGAGGGTGGGGAGTAGGGATAGGTGTCAGCCTGAGGGGACAGC